GTTATAACAGTGCTAAAAGTGACTTACGACCAGTGCCTGATGTTATGACCGCTGCGGTCACGTGATCACAATCAGGGCACTTGGCAACCAGGTTGCATTTACGATGGTTGCAGCATCCCAGGGTCACATGATCACCATTTGCAACCTTCCCAGCCAGCTTCCGGCAAACAAAATAAATAGGGAACCATGTGATTCACTTAACAACTGCCACAAAAAAGTTCATAAAATTGGGTCCAGTCACATGATGATTCACTTAACGACCGCATCACTTGCCAACCTAAATCCTGGTCCCAGTTGTGGTTGATAAACAATGACTACCTGTATTCATTAAAAGCATCCCGCCCCCTTTTTTTCAGGCTTCCATGTGAACCTACAAAAAAAAAAGTAACTGTTTTAAGCCTGAGTTCTGAAGTAGGTGCAACTTTTTTTCAGTCTCACACAGAAGCTGAAAAAAGAAGACTGCTTTAATGACTAGTTGAGAAATCTGCTTGCACTCACATGAGCTTGGAAGCACTTCTTTCAAATCATTTTGGACATATGTGCAACAAGCTATGACCGTTACATCTGACCTTGGTTGGTTATTAAATCTTGTTTTGACCCATAATTCGGTGTCAGGTGAATCAGGTGTTCCTGTCTGCCCACTCACCTCCCTAACTTTGAAAGTATGAAGTCTCTCTTTCAATTTTTCTCTTCTAAAGTCAGAAAATGTCTTTCATTTATACTCCTGGAACTATGATTTAAATGATACTATAAACCAAGCTGCCCTTGTTTCAGCATGGTGATAAATACAGTAACTGCCAGTTAGATTTTTTAATTCTGGAACTTCCAGAAGCAGGGGCACTAAAATGAGATACTTCAAGAATGTTAGACGACACTGAACATGTAATTACGTTATCATTTCAACATGCATTGAACAAGTTATAGCAAAGCTGTGACTGGGTTCTACATACATGTGACAAGGAAGTGATTTTCTGATTTCATAGAAGTCTTTTGAGATGCCAATTTACGTTTGACAATGGAAGGGGGGAAAGACAGTTATGTATAGGAATGGCACTTTTGAATATTTAGGGCTAATGTACACATGGCATGCACTGTTCAATGTGATTCTATCCTTAGATATGAATCAAAAATAGCAATGGCAGAGAAAGGCATAAATACCATGTCCTATCTGAATTATTTTCTAGCCATAATCTCTTCCCCTTTGTCTCCCAACAGGAAGAAGAGAATTTCTGAAGTGAATTTTTAGAAGAAAAAAAATTGTTTGAGGGGAAACAGTTAAGTACCTTATTCATAGCAACTTGTGTAACTTATTCCTAGTAATGCTATTCCATTCCTCTTACTACATACTGGAAGATAACAAAATTACATCAGTGGCATGCCATGTGACACAATTTGTCCCCCGGTCACGGTTGAGAAAGGGAAGATAATATTTTAACAAGTGTATCTAGAAGCAGAGCAAACATGGACATGCATATAACTTTTATAATCCTTATGCAAAAGCTCCTCAAACACTAAAATGGGTGACAATCACATCTGGTATAAAAAGATGAAAAACAATACAATTCTGTTGATCTTTGTGCACCTCTTAGGGCTGAGAGTTACATAGCATATTTTTATAAATATGTGGAACAATGTGATTGTTTGATAAAAGAAAAAAGTAATGCAAAAAGATGGCAGAAACGTTCAATAGGTGTAGCAGATTTCAGTTTCTGGGAAATTTTGTGGAGTCAATAAACTTTTATACATTTTCTAACTACAGTTTGTCATTGTACAACTATTGTTACTTTTACTCAGAAAAGCCTAGAAACTAAATATCCCAAGACTTTGGGCATAATATGGCTTCTCTGGACTTGGCTGAGAGTCCTGTGTGAACCAAGCTGTTGTGATTTATAAACCATGGTTTATCATCTCATCTATAAGCCCAGTCTAATTGTGATGTAATTAACAAGCCACAATTAAATAGACTATGGATCAGTGTGTGTGAACCAAGTCTATCAGGGTTGCTGTAAAAAAATTAATGTCATAATTCTTAGCATTTTCCTGGGAGTAAGTTTCACTGAACACAACAAAATCTATGACCATCTGAACTTGAGTAAGTCTAGGTTTTAAACAAGAAGCAAGGATTACTGTTTTTTTCCAATGTCCAATCCCAACAATAAAAATCTTGGTCACAATCTAGCCTTTCAGATTTCCAACTTTTTCAAACAATGAGTCATTCTGGTTGTAAATTAACTAGAAATTGTGCCATCAAAAGTTTTCCAGTTATTCTGTACATGACCACTGTTTCAAAGCAAGAACTGACAGCTAACATTTGCGCCTGCCTATCTTTCCCAAGACTAGATTTCTGCAATGTCCAGAGTTGCTGGGAGTTGGGCGGCATATAAATTTAATAAATTATTATTACTATTACTATTATTATTATTGTGTTATAGGCAGAATTGGTTCCCTTAGCTAATACAAAACACAGAATTAATTTAACAGGTGTAAGACAACTACTTCTGGGGAACAAGACTCCTAAAATTAAAAAGATTGGACAAAAAGCTAACAGCTTCTACTTGTGAAATAATTTAAAAAGGGTAATATATAATAAAGTTTCATTCACAGGAATGCAATGAATGTCAACCCCTTTTAAAATTGCTGCTTAAATTAGCAACCTTTCTACTTGTTTTCTTCTTTACCATTGTGTTCTGAGCAAAGGCAAATGAATGCTAGATATGGTTTTATTTATTTCATCCTCAGTTTTATACTTATATTACTGTGATAAGTTAGATTTAGTGCCACTGTTTCAAGGTAAAGCGATCAATTATATGGACAGTGAGGATCTAAACGACAGTTTCCCCACAGGATCCAAATCTGTAACCACTCTTCAACGTTGGCTCTAAATTTTGAGTACAAGTCTTCTCTTAATCTCTCAGTAGGTCAAGGGTCATGTATTAGTGGGAGAAGCGGATTTTCCTGCATGGAAAAACTAGCATGGGCAGAGAGTTTTTTTTAACCCTTCCCCACCAAAACAACCCTCTCCATGACTCCAATCTGTAATTCTCAGAAATTAACATGTACTTCAATGGATAACTCTAAGTATAAATGAAAGCAAGTTAGCTTCAAGGAATTGGCCTCTTTTCTCTAACCATAATTAATATTAACAGTTTAGGGTCTGGGTAGCCTTCTAAAATGAGTTAATCTAAAACAAAAACTTCTAGACTTACATCTCTTTATGATTATTCTAGAAAAGACACACTCAAACCTTATTCTAGAAAGGACTAGCCACTCAAGAAGTGTCTAGTCTTGTTCCTTTAAATCAAAAATGTTTTTTATTCCTACACAGTATATCCCTCCATTTCCTTTCTTTCTGTTTGTGTACACCTTTTCCAGCTGCTACTCAATTTCTTCTGCCTAACATTTGAGGGATGGGGGTATTATTTTTTCCATTTTTCTATTATTGCAAAACTAGATCCAGGTTAATGCATTTGATGTCTATAGAGCTTGTTTTAAAAAGCACATCCATCCAAAGTTAAACATACTTTAAATTACACAGATTCCAAGGGGAGAGACTGAAGCACAAGTTTGTATCTTCTACTGAAATATGCTTCATGCCACCAATTTAGACCTGCTTAGATTTCACTTGATCATACTTTTGTTTTTTCAAATATTCCTTTGAATCATGAACTTAACCAGTATGCCCAACCCTATCTTTATAAATAAGTCAATGACTGACTACTTATACCACATTATCAAGCTCAGTGCAATTATCACAAGGGTTCTGTGAACAACTGTAAGAGATTGTTTGATACTTTTTATTATCGGGAAGAACAAGGTACCTTTCATTTTTGAAGACACAGTTAAGGTATGCTTTGGAATTACCAAGATGTTTGATTTGAATACTGAAGATATTTAGAAAAAAACTACTTTTTAATGAGCAATTAATTCTGCAAACAGTGGAAAACAGCTGGGCTAATGAATACTGTCCCTTTTTAAGTTTATATGTAAATATAATCAATTACTCAAAAAAGGTGTAAATTTTTTTATTAAAAGCCATGTATTATCAAGATTTTACTGCCAAATCGTAACTGCTAAGAAAGTTGGTAGACTTAATGTCTCTTCGTCTTTTATTTAGCTTTGTTTCTCACTTATTCCAACATTTCTAAAATGGAAGAAATTAATCTGATTACAGTAAGAGAACTGTAGCTGAGAAGTTGTATGGCATATTTCTAGACCAAGTATTAAAGACTGTAATTTCATTATTGTTGTTTCTTTTGGCAAGAAATGAGAATTCTAAGGCAACATTTTTCCTTTCAGATTTTTTACACGATATGGTGTAGCTCTGCAAATACAAAGGAAAGTTCTTGTGGTTTTAATACCATGAGGCACATCCCTGCAAATGCTGATAAAGCATATCACTGATGAGTACTCCAATGATTTGTGCTGCTGAAGGTATGCATCTCCCCAAATAGTCTACATTTCAGCAGACAACGTGAACACTGCTCAATCTACACCTCATTAAGAACTGGTGTAGATCTGCTCAGTAGGAATGACTCCGCTCCAAATGGCACTCTGATTTCCTGTGTCCACCACCACCACCTTGCAACCTTCGCTTCTAGACAGAATATAAGTATAACCCAGGCTAACTAGGTAAGCTCTTATCAAGTGCTATCACCTACAGTACTTGACTCACACAATGATAAAGGGAACCATGATGTTGTTCTCCAGTACTTGCCTTGAATCGTCAAGCAATCTCAATTCTCCTAATGTTTTTCACTATTCTTTCACTTTTTCTCAAGGAAAAAGGAAGTGGTAAAAGTGTGCAATTTGGACCCGAAAACAATGTGCTTGCCCATTTTCCTTGTCTGCAACTTCAAATAATAGCCTGCTCAGAACTACCCAGGTCTTGCTTCAAGAAAAATTGGCATACCTAATATACGTAAGACATATCCTGGGGTCTGTGGTTGAAATTCACTAGAAAGGCATACAGACTCAATCAACATATGCTTGGCAAAACTCACCATTTTCAGGCTGGTCCTTAATATCAGCTTCACTTGGCTGGCTGGGACTTTCTGACTGACTTGAATCTAAAAGACATAAATATGGTCCAAAATTATAGGAACTGACTGTGGAAAAGTAGCAGGTTTTACAGTTTGAGGCATTTTTAATAGGAAAAAAAAAAAAAAAACCACCACAGGAAGCAAGGTAATGGTTTTTATTGATGATTAATTTTTACCACATTTTTAAAAATCTGAAATTCAAAATTCGTCATTTAAGATTTCAAAGCCTATATATTGTCAGTGAAGACTCTGGCTTTGTACTCTAATGATGTTTTAATAAATATAACCCATTTCTAATATTATAATGCTATCGCAATTGTTTAATGTGCTAACTGCTTGCTATTGAAACATAATTTTTTCATATTTATATTAATTACCTCTGTCTCTGTAAAAATACAGAATAAGCTATTTTAATTTGCAGATTCTTCTTAGTGAATTTTAACCTGAAAAAGAAGCTGTAGGGATTGAATGAGGGCAATATTTTTTTCGCTCTCCTAGAAGCAGGGAAATCAGTTATTTTAAAAATGTAGGTAATAGCTACTTTTCCCTTTTTTTACTCAAAAGTAACCACAGAAAATATGAACTTGATTCAGACCAATAAAAGGGGGGGAGGAGGAAGAGACCACTTCTCCAGATTAAGTCTCACTACCTGCCTCTTGCTTTGCCAAAGAGTGAGCAGCTAAACAAATAGATCACTTCTGGATATAATGTAGAATACGTGTATATCCAAACCACAATGCAAACTGGGACCTAATGGGGGACAAAGAAATAAAGTTCTGTACTGATTATGGTTCTGTTGCACTTATTTTTTTAATAATGACAAAATATTTACTTATTATTTTATTATACAGTTTTTATAGTCCACACAAATCAGAAGAGTTTGGGCAGATTACAACATAGTAAAAAATTTAAAAACAACGATCATATATCAACCCTCTCCCAAGATGAATGCCAATATTTAACTAGGATTGAAGACTTGGTGAAATAAAACTGTGCTCAGTGATCTTCTAAATGACATAAAGGAGGGTGCTTTACAATCTGCCCAGAATTAAGGGGAGTTGAGCAGTATATAAATTTAATAAATTATTATTATTAGTTTCAAAGTGTGGGGGAAAGGCCTTCAGAGAAGGCTCACTGTCTCCGTGTCCCTGTAACCTTAGACAGAGAAAGAACTTGAGCCGGCCTTTCCAAGGATATCACTGGACAGATTAAAATTCTATCAAGGTGGTGTCTGAGGTAACCTAGTGCTATCAGTTGTGCCCTTTTCGGGATCAGGCTCTTCAGATAGTCACTCATGTCCTCATGGCTCAATTATTGCAATGTGCTTTATATGGGCCTGCCCTTGAAGACCACTTGAAAGCTTCCACTGGCCCACAGTGCAGTACTGTGAGCATACCTCAGTATGTCCATATGACACCACTGCTTTGAGAGCTGCACAAGTTGCCAGTTTGCTTCCAAGTGCAATTCAAGATGCTGGTTATGACTTATAAAGCCCCACAAGGCATAGAGCCCAGTTATTTCAGGGACTACCTATCTCCATGGTGTCTGCCTGGTCAATTTAAGCTGACAGAATTGGAGCACTTCGGGTTCCTTTGATCAAACAACATCATCTGTCAGGACCCAGGAAGTGTGCCTTCTGTATTTCAGTGCCCACCCTCTGGAATGAGGCTTCCTCTGAGATCAGAATGGTTCCAGAGTGCCATAAAGGCCTAACTGTTCTCCCAGGCCTTGGGCTGGGATGGCTAGAATCCCCCACTTGACGCTGTGGGATATTTGGGTTGTTGCTGAGTTCGCCATCTTGTTCTTTTTCTTCTTTTCTACTTTGGTTTTTGTTTTATGTCTCTTGTTACATTTATTTTATTCTGTTGGGTATTCTGAGCAACCCAGACTTCCTTTGGATTCAGACAACATAAATTGGAATGAATGAATGATCTATTTAATTTTTCCATGTATTTAATACATTGTTTATAAATCTTAATTGTTTGTATGAGCTTGCTTATGATGGCATATTTTATCATTGTCTGGAATAAGATATTAAAAAGAAACTCTGAAGAGCTTGTATAACATTCAGCCTATTTTGATATTTGGTGTTGGCTGTAGTGATTGCCAAAAATCCTCTTTTCAAAAAGATAAACTGAAGGAAAGAGTAGTAGGATCTTCAGTCCCTTTGACAATCCTCAGGGAATGTGTGTGTGTGTGTGTGTGTGTGTGTGTGTAGTGTAGCATATACATACGACACAGACACACACACTCCATACACTGGTGTTCCACAAAACATAGCTTAAGAAACATTTTTCTACCACGTTTGCATCTTAAAAGATAATGACAATAATAAGTTCTCTGGTTTCTGAGTTTTTCTACCATGCAGTGCATGTTTCTTAGAACAGTCTAATGTCTGTGTTTATAGCAAGAGAGGATTTCCTTTTTTTCATGTTAGGAAATGTATAGATTTAAAATCTGACTTCTGATACCATATCATGGAAGGTTTACCGGATACAGTAGTCAGAAAGTTAAACAAGAACTTCATTGTCTCTCTTAAATAAGAATAGAACTGTAACAGGAAATGTCTGGTTTTACATGGACAGAAGTCATAAGAAGACTACATGTTATCTTTAGTATGCCATTTTTTTAAAGATCTCTCAGCTGCTTTTGATCACACTGACCACAGTATGCAGATGACACCCAGCTATATCTCTCAAATCTCAACTAGGTGAGATAACACCAGGAGAGGGAAATGAACTGGATGAGAGCCAGTGAACAGAAACTTAATCTTGACAAGATGGGAACAATGTGGGTAATTCCCAAGTACAGATCAGTACAAACTGATCTGGAAGGGACTGCATTTTCTCAATGGAGCTCAAGGAATATTCCTATATCCATCTTGTCACTAGAAACCAACTTCATCCTTTTTCAGACCAGGATAGCATAGCACAATAATCATAACTTTGTATCTTTTCCGCTATATTGCTGTTTTGAAGTTAATACAGAAGCTTCAGACAACCCAACAAAGCTTGAAAAATATAATATTTATTTTCTATGATGTGTACTGGTTATTTATTCACTTCTGAACTTATTTTATTATTTTATGTTTGACTTATAAGAGCAAAAATGCTTTAGTACCAGAATATTTATACACTATTAGTATACACTAATCTGGCCTTTAAGATCCTTGGAAAGAGCCCCGCTTGTGGTGCCATTTCTGGGAGCAGTAATTCAAGCTAGTTTTGAAGCCCCTGCTACAGAATTCCCTGCCTTTGGAGAAGCATTCAAGCATCTTCAGTTCTGCAAATTGCATCTCTCTGACTAGGGCTTTGACTTTTCTTGTTTAATATTTTGCTGCCTGTTGTTGCATATTATTTTGCAATATTTTTTCAGGTTTTTTGTCTTTTATATTTTAACTGTGTGACTACTCTGTAGCAGTGATCATAATAACAAGCTATGATGAAGTTTTTTCTTTATTTCAAACTAAGAGAAAGGAACTCAAACAGGATTAAGAGTTAACCATGGGGACTTGTCTGCTGTGTTATAGTCCTGAATGAGACTGTTGACATGCATGCTTTAATCTATACTGGAAACAAACAAACAAGCTTGTTTGATGCTATGAAAATTTCAGACATGGTTTCCTGGTTCTGGATTTGGCCACAGTGGGAGAAAAAGGCTAAAGCCCCTACATTCTATGATAGGATTCTTATCTAGATCTCTTTACCTCAAATTTCTTTGAATAAAAAAAAAGATAGATACAGTTGTGTGCTTTATATTAATGGTAATATTTTTTTGTTGTTGTTTTTTGCTCGAAATCCAATCAGATCCTGTAACTAAACCAATTAACAGCTATCTTACTTGGTTCCTTTTCACATTCTTTAATAACTGTCAAATTACAACTAAAATAATGTTAAAATGTGATGAAGTAGTAAATACAAAAATAGGGGAAAAAAGGTAATTAGGAGGTTTTTGTGGGCTTCTTGGGAGAGGGGGAGAAAATTCAATCATTCAATTTGAAGCCTTTTCTAAAATTTACCCTAGTTTAACATAAAAGTTTGATTCAGATTTTCTATCTTAAAAATATTGTCTATTTAAAAAAAAGAATCTAGAGCTTTCTTTTTCCGAAACAATAAGAAGATATATAAGGTTACCACCATTTTCATTACGGCAACTATTATGCTCATGTTATAGAAATGATGGCTCTCAACTATGGAAACTTAAGTATTTCAAAACTTAATTCTGCTTCCTTAATATTCTTCAGATAGTGAATCACAAATACCTGATTATTAGAAGTTATTAGAAAAGAAATGGTATAATGGGTCTCAGGAGTCTAAGGATGGAATCAATATCGTAAGTGCTATAAAGAACTCTCTTCCTCCATGCCATCCTTAAAATCTCTTCACTTTTAGGATGGGGAGGCAAACAACTATTGCACCCAAAGATGTGGAAGAGGGAGTAAGGCAGCTGTCAGCAAGCTACCTGATAGTAGGAGACACGCATTCCACATACATTAGCATCCCACCAGTGATCTCATCCAGTGGGCTTATATTGGTTTCCTCCATTCTTCCTTGACAATAGGAAGGGTGGCAATAGCCACCATTGAAATCTGCTCTATAGGATACCACAACTGTTAGGAGCAGATGTGGGGTGGGAGGGGGTAGACTGCAGTGGAAAGATAAGGAGAACTAAAGACCACCAAGCTAAAGGAAATTAGCCCACCTGATTCAACTCTTTATACCTGCAACACTTCACAGCATAACAAATTTATTGATAAAATTGCTATAATTTCCATTATCCCTAAAATACAGGTCAGACTCCAGATTCCCCATATATTACATATAATACCTTGCATTTTCTACTTTCTGTATGCATGTAACATATGCAGTTAAAAAAAAGGTGGATACATAACAACAGATAACTAATAAAAATAAAAAAGTTTCAGATGCATTTTGTTAAAATTACCACTTAGAAATTTAAATAAAATGTACATTTAATTTTCTACTCTATACAGAGAGACAGAAAAACAAGTGAAAGCTACATTCTAT